TAATGAGATGATCATGTGACTTCTGCACTTTATTCCACAAATGTGGCCCATTATATTGATTTTCAGGCATTGTATTCCTTGGTTAAATCCTACTAGATAGTGAATACTTGTTTTCATATGTTGTTGGATTCTATTTGCTAAGATTTTGTTGAGGATTTTTGCAATTTTACTCATAAGAGATATTGGTCTTCAGTTTCCTTGAGATATCTTTGTTTAGCTTTGATATTAGGGTAACACATGCCTCCAAGAATGAGTTGGAAAGTGTTTCCTTCTTTCATTTTTTTGGAAAAGTTTGTGAATGACTTGTGTTAATTCTTCTTTGTTAATTTTCTTAAATTTATTGTTTAAATAGTAAAAACCATGAAATATAAAACTTACCATGTTAATTCTCCTTTATATACTTAGCAGAATTCTACCATGAAGTCATCTGGATATGTTGGAAATTTTTGACTACTAACTTCACATGTCTTTCTTTCTTTAATTATTTATTTGTTTGTTTGTTTGTTTATTTATTTATTTTGCAGTTGTTGATGTACAGAATGTCTTTATTTTATTTGTTTATTTTTATGTGGTACTGAGGATCGAACCCAGTGCTTCATGCATGCTAAGCAAGTGCTCTGCCACTGAGCTAGAGCCGCAGCTCTCACATGTGTTGTATTTACTCAGATTTTTTTTTTCTTTCTGCAACAGAGATTGAATTGGAGGGGCACTTAACTACTGAGCCATATCCCCAGCCCTTTTTATTCTTTATTTTGACACAGGGTCTCCCTAAGTTGCTTATGGTCTTGCTATAAGTTGCTGAGGCTGGCTCCCAGCCTGTGATCTTCCTGCTTCCACCTCTGGAGCTGCTGGGATTACAGGCATATGCCACCGTGCCCAGCCTATTTGGATTTTTTTCTCTTTTAATTCAGTTTTGGTAGTTTGGTGTCTTTCTAGGAATCTGTTCATTATCTAATTTGGGACATAAAATTGTTCATATTATTTCCTTAGAGTCCTTTTTATTACTGCAATGTTGTTAGAGGGGTTCCCTTTGAATAAAGGATTTTTTAATTGTTTTTTAAAGTTACACATGACATAGAATCCACTTTGACATAATTATAAAAGCATGGAATATATCTTGTTCAGACCCCATTACCTCTCCTTTCCCTTCCTTCTCCCCTCCCCTTTTCCTTCTCTCTATTGATCTTTCTGAGAATAAAGGAACTTTCAAATGACTTAATATTATAAAATCTTGAAACTAATAAAACCAAAAGTAAACAATTTTAAATTTTTGAAAATTCTAAGTTACAGGACATACAAACTAGATACCTTCCAAATGCAGAACCAATATATTTCTAATTAAAATGCATCATATTCATCTAAAACTGAAAAAAGAAACAAGAAAAAGTTTCAGCCTGAACAAACACATTACACCATTTGGTAAAAACTCAACATTCTAAGCAACTACACTCACATGAAGACACATATACACATTGTAAATACAATATGACAAATTCCTAAGGTGCTAGTGCTATAAAAGAATCATTTATTTTCTCAAATTCTCTCAAATAAATAATCTTTAGAACAGAGAAAAACTCACTTCTTAATACATTTCTTAAATTCAGGATCATGAAATTTCTGTATACTATGCTTTCTTAAATCATAGCCTTCTATGTATCTAGTAGTAGTCACATAGTTTTTATATGATTGGTAAACAAAATTCAGTTTCTTTGAAAGAGTTTATATCTTCATGATTCATAAATACATATTATATCTCATCTTTTATAATAAAAAATTATGAAAATCTGTCTTAGAGGAAAATTTTAATTTTTGCAGCCTATTCTTTGAAAGAAACTATTCCAAAGGAATAGTTTCAAACTATTTCAAGGAACCTGGGGTCATTGTTATGTGAATTTCTTTTAAAAATTCAACTACCAAATTTCAAAAATACTAGAAAAAATGACAAGCTTTCAAGCTTTATTTACATGACCTTGATATACTGTAGAGAAAATTGAGCTTATATTATCACCATACACCTGGCTGGTATTATAGCTTGCAGAATACTTTAATCTTCTTTAGTTAATTTTTTTTTGGAAAAAAGCCCACTAAGTAGGTAAGGCAGGTGGTAGTACTATGTTTATCATGCCATTTATATAGAAAGAAAACTGTGCTTCCCCATGGGCCAAGAGGCCTGTCCAAGGTCATGCAGCTTATAAATGGTGGAGCTGGGACAAGCAAATCAGGTCTACCAACTCCCAATCACATACCTTTTCCCCCTTACCCAAAAAAAAAAAAAAAAAAAACAATAGCAGGAGGCAAAAGCACAGACTATGATGTATATGCATGTGAAGAATGCTTCCTTTAACTAAAACTTTTTCACTGAAATCTCATTTCTTTTGAATGTTTATGAATCATTCTTCTTATCTAATTATTTTTTGGAAACCACTTGACTGAAAGCATGTTTTTCATAATCATTAGACCAGTAGAGAATCTTTAGCATCCTGCAATCTAACTGTAGATTTCACAGACATGTTAAATAAACCTTAAAACTTAACCATTAGAACTTAAAGGAAGTTACATGATACTGTTAAAATATTAAACAACACTGAGAAATCCCCCTGTGGAGCAATTCTGATGCCAAATTAGGGTATGTGTCACTGAGTGGTGTTCTACAAAATACAGATTAAAATTCTCATCATTCTAGCTCTGTAGACAGCTATATACCAGTGATCAGAGATAAGCAGCACCAATGACATTTAAGTGTTTATTTTCTATAGGGATAACACATCGTGTACAGGGAATAATACAGTTCCTCCAGTATTGGTGCACTCTGTCACACAAGCATTAAATCAAACTCTAACTCATGGTATACAAACAATGTAGTATTCACCCAGGAAAGGACAAAGTTCCTTGATTCCTCTGATACAAAAAGTATTTGCACTTAGGACACTTTATCTTCACTTTCTCCTTGGAGAACCCAACACATTTTCTTAACCTAAAGACTCTAACAAAGTTGATGTGATTTTAGAGACAACATATCCTAAGTGGTCACACACCCACAGGTTAAAGAGAAGATTGCTGTCATAAACCTACACTGCCCTGAATGACCAATAGACTTCAGTCCAATATGCTATTGTCCTACTAAGCTTTTATCATTAGGGAGGGGTAAGTGGAAGCCTGAGGACACTTTTGAGGAGAAAGGACTTGATTCCAGTCACTGCTTCTCCTCACGTCCAAACCAGTTTGATGAAGAATTTGAAATCATCTGCAATTTTCTCAATAGGACCTCTAAAGCACAGGAAATAATGCCAGAAGTTAGTAAATGAAATGACATCAAATTAAAGTGCTTCTGCACAGCAAATGAAATGATTAAGGATGTGAAGAGAGACCCTACAGAATGAGAGAAAATCTTTGCTAGCGACTCTTCTGACAGAGGATTAATATCTGGAATAAATAAAGCACTCAAAAAAACTTAACTCCAAAAAACCAAATAACCCAATTAATAAATAAGCAAATGAACTAAATAGATACATCTCAAAAGAAGAGATAAAAATGGCCAACAAGTATGTGGGGAAAAAATGTTGAATATCATTAGCAATCAGGGAAACACAAATCAAAACCACACTGAGATTTCATCTCACTCCAGTCAGAATGGCAGCCATCAAGAATAGGAACAATAGCAGGGTGTGGTTGCACATACCTATAACCCCAGTGACTCAGGAGACTAAGACATGAGGGTCATGAGCTCAAAGCCACCCCTGTCTCAAAATTAAAAAAGGGCAGGGAAAGTGGGATCAATCTCTGGTACCAATAAACAAACAAACAAATAAATAATAATAAATGCTGGAGAAGATGTGGCAGGGAAGAACACTTTCACACTTGTTGGTGGGATTATAATTAGTACAACCACCATGGAAATCAGTATGGCTCCTCAAAGGACTAGGCATGAAGCTACCATATGAACCAGCTATTCTACTCCTCAGTTTTTATCCTGAAGAATTAAGGTCATCATACTATAGTGATACATGTATGCCCATGTTTATAGCAGCACAATTCACAATAGCCCAACTCTGGAACCAGTCTAGGTGTCTATCAATGGATGAATGGATAAAGAAAATGTGGTATATACACAATGGAGTTTTATTCAGACATAAAGAAAAACAAAATTATGTCATTTTCAGGAAAACAGATGGAACTTGAGATCATTATGTTAGGCAAAATAAGCCAAACCCACATATGCTTTCTCTTATATGTGGAAGCTAGAGAGAAAAAAGGGAAGAAAAAAAAAGGTGTTGGGAAAGGGATCTCATGAAATTTGAAGAAAGTTCAGTAGAATAGAGGAAAGAGTCCAGGGGAAGGGAAGAAGGGTGGAAAAGGGAAATAATGGGGAACAATATTGGCAAATCATTTTATTACTGAGTGCATGTACAAAATACATAATTACAAATCCTACCATTATATACAACTATATGCACCAACAAAAATATGGAAAAAAATTGCTTTCAATATAATGCACTAATAAAAGCATAATAAAAAAAGAAAAAAAGAAAGGAAAATCTGCAATTTGTTCAGTGATTTCTTAGGAGACTCTGGAGAAGGAAAAGGGAGCAGATGTCTCCCTAGTCCCTGGACCTTGGCTTAGTAACAACTTTTTCTTAATCCTGTTTGATCATTTGAAAAAATAGGTTTTTCATCTCCCATTAGTCTGCCACCAACAAGACTGCAAATGAGTTATTAAAAGTATAGCAGCATACACACAGGTGAGCGTGGTGCCCATCTAGCCATGACTGAGAACTGGAGTTTGGGGGGACACCCCTGGCCCATTGAGTTGGCACGGGGAGTTTGGCCAGTTCTAAATCATGGATTACAGACAAGATTCTCTCCCTGGCTATCCTTAACTTTTGACAACGCTTCAGAGCTGCTGGCCCATTCAGGTACCTTCTGGTCATTAAATCCCACACCCTTACCACAGAGCTTATCTCCAAAAGAAGGTGCACCAATAGCCTAGGCCTGGCTCTTACCTCTTGGCTTCCTCCAGATGGCACAAATATTCATAAGCAATGTTCTGCCGCCTCCTCTCATCCATCTCCTCTGCAGAAAGCCTTTCATCATCCACGATAGCTGGAAACAAAGGAAAACAACACATTATTACAAGGGCAGCCTTTATTGAATAAATATCTGAGACCACTTAGAAAAAACTCAGGCTGAAGGTGTAGCTCAGGGGCGTAGTACACATTTAGCATGCAGAAAGCACTG